CTCAAAACCTGCTTTTGATTTTTTTTTTTTTTGTACCGGGGATTGAACTCGGGTCCTTGCACTTGCAAGGCAGGCCCCCGAACCACTGAGCTAAATCCCCGACCCCCCTTTGAACATTTTATACATACATAAGGTAGTGGGCACACTCCTTACATTATTCCTCTTGCCCTTTCTCAGCCCTAGGAGGGGACGGCGAGAATGAATGAATGAACAAATAAATGGAGGCAACACCAGCAGCTTTGCTAGCAATGTAGGGGATATTCATAGGAACCACAAATGTTTCTCACAATGTAGCCAACTAAGAAGGCTACAGAGACCTTACCACTCTGGACTCTTTACAAGAAGTGACACTGGTGATTCATGTGTAAGAGGGGAATCCCTCCTCTGTAGACAGCTCTTTAAGAATTTCAAATGAATGTAAGTTTTAAAATTGTGGTCCTGTGTTCAGAACTCCAACAGCTCAGGCTTTTGTTCTGGGAAAGTGAAAGGCCTTTGCAGGCAGAGATTTTATACAGGTGTTCAAAATTGGCTTTTGAGCTGTCTAACCTCTACTCCTTTAGCCCTGTGGTCTTTGGCTGGATTTTGTTCTTCCACATTTAAACTGAAGCTACAGGGAGGTTGGGAGGACAGATGCATGGAGACTTGGGGCTCCCTTAACTCCAAATAGTGTGTACTCTGCTATAAGTTTGATTTGAATTTCTTCATATCAATGTCAGCCTTTGTGCTGCATCCCCTATAAATCCAGGTTAAACTGAAGAGAAGTTGGTGTATTTGTTTGAGAAGTTGATGCAGCTGTTCCAGACAAACAACACTACTGCCAAAGCCCTCCATCAGGAGCTAAGAACATGTGGAAAATTTTAGCTTGCAATGACTGTGGCTATGATGGGAGAAGTTTGTTATTTATTCATCTTTGGATATTTTCCTAACCCTACTGGTTGGGCCTGTCTCATTCTCCCAAACTCCCCAGGCCCTGTGAGGGCAGAGACTGCAGGCCACATAAAATTCTTAGCAGTTGGAATGCCAGTTGGGCCTCATCAAAGGTCTGCCAGCTCATTATTCTTCCCTCAACCCTCCCCTCCCTGCTTCCCTCTCCTCAATGAGTCCTTTATGGCTGATTCCCTGTGTCTCCAGAGGTGAAGGATGAAACACGCAGGAATCCAGAAAACTCTAACCCTTCTGAAATAAGGAACAAGCCGGAAGAAACTGGGGAATTCTTCATTAAGTGACTGTGATCCATATTGTTATTAAAAGCTTTAACAGAAAGGGGCCATAAAAATCTCATAAACAAGGTCCAGGAAGGAAGCAAAAAAGGGAAGGAAAAAGTTTGATATATTCTTGTTTCCTTCAAATAGTTTGCCTGCCTCCATTTATTTTCCAAATAAGCTATGTGGTCTCTGTCCTGTTTTTGTGGTCTTCACAATGGTATTTGACTCACAAAGGAATTACTATTAATAAAGATATGACTCACGGAGAACTTAGAAAATATTTTTTTCTTGGAGTTAAATACAAAGTAGGTGAGGCAATAGCCTCAAAGAACATGTTTCCTAACCTTAATTTTTGTGCTGGCACATCCTATCTTCAAGTAACTCTTGTTAGGTTGCCCCAGAGGCATTCCTTGATAGCTGTTGCAATGATTGGTAATATTTATTGTCCTTTAATAGCTTTTATTTGTATCTAAAATAATAATCTTTCATTGTCGTCTATTTCTTTCCTTGTCCAAATCTTGGTGTTAGGCCCTGACCTTCCCGGAAGTAACAGACAACAGCTCCTACAACTTACCTGCATACCATGTTGATGTCACTGTTGGAATAAGGAAGAACAGCAGAGAGAGAGCTCTTCTTTGAGTTAGTTCACCAGCCATCCTTGAGAGGAGGAATTAGGGAAACAAGAATAGAGGTGTGTATCTAGAAGTACCAGAGGTTAAAAAAAAAAAAAGACTCAGAAGTCAGCTATCTAGGAATTTCTAAAAGTGAGAGGAAGCAGAAGCATGGGATCTGTCAGGAAAAAGAAAGATTTTTAGAATTAATGAGTGCTTATTATATTATCCTATTCACAAAGATTTTTTCACTTCTTAAAATAACAATCCTTTTTGTTATTTATGGTCCCTTTTCTGATGGGATCAGATGCAGATGTTCATGGTCCAAGTTATAGGGAGAGACACTGTAGTACATAAACCAGAAAAAGGCTAATACAAAGTCATATAGAAGTAGGATAGAATTTGACCATGTACAGCTGCCAGTTAATGGTTTTTCCCATTCAGCTAATATTTCCTAATCACTGATTTGGGGACATATTAGCACATAAGATATAAGAGTTTGAACTCTGGACTTACACAGATCTGAATATGAATCCAGTTCTGAAATCTATTAGCTAGGGGCCTTAGACAAAAACCATTAACTTCTCCAACCCTCTGTTTTCTCATCTATAAAATGGAAATAGTAGTATCTGCCTTATAACATGTAACATAACAAAGCAATCAATATGTTTGACATGATTATTAGCAACTTCATACTAGACAGGACTGGATATTTCACTATTTTTGTCTCCCAGGCAATAAACATACCTTGACTCTGTTCTTGTTTTGGGTTTTGAGGCTTAGTGGTTTGGTAGAGCTTATGGTTTTCAACTCTTACCTAACCTCCTAATTTTATCCTGCCCAGCCAGCAGGAAGACAGAGATGTTGGGAAACCTATTGAAGTCCATGAAGAGAGGGTGAGAAGGCTCCAACTGCCCTCTCATTTCCCATCATGTCCTCACTCAAATGGATGAGAGCTGTTTGTGGTTCCCAGTGGGAAAATACTTAGTAAATAATAGTATTAAAACCTACTAATTTAGCAATATAAAGTGGGCCACTCAACCTTTCAACAAGTATCCATTCACCCATATGCCTTCAGTGAAATGGCATGCTCAGAGGAGGAGTCAGTCTCAGAAATGGAGAAACAAAAAAATGTTAGATTCTGGCCAGAGTCTCTAAAGGGACATGCAGAGTCCAAGAAATGCAAAAATCCATTTTCCAGTTCATAGATACTTGGCTTTGGATTTTATTCACAGAGTAACAATTAAGTGAGATAGAGAAAAAAGTGAAAGAGCACGAGGGAAATAAGGAAAGTGAAATGATGCGGAAAGAATATTAGAAAGAAAAGAAAAGACAGGAGATGGATTATAGAAAAATGCAACAAAAGAAGAAAGAGATTAAAGGAGGCTCCAGGACAAGGAATATGTAGATAATCACTGACCCTTTCCCCACATCCAGGTTCAATTTCATTAGTTCGCAGGTGAGCAGAGGCTTTCCTTCTTTCAAACCACGTACTGTACTCTGAGTCTATGACTCCTTATCTGCCTGCCTCCTCCCTGATGTCACACTGAAAATGTGACTCACCAAAGTCAGCCACCCTTCCGTTGTGGGCTGAGAAGGTAGTGGGAACACGTGTACAGCCAGTCACAGCACAAACAAAAACAGAATATGATCCAATTTAACAAAAGAGCTTCTTCCCCTCTTCAATTTGCAGCTGCATCATCCAAATTCTGCATCTCTTTATTCTCCAATGCTGTGAAACAGGGTAGTGTAGTTTGAGGGGTTAAATTGCAGAGCTTACCTGTTTATAGGGGTTTTTGTTGCTGTCTTTCTTTCTCTTCCTTCTCCTTTCTGTCTGCTCCTCTCATAAGTCGGAAAAAAAATAAAAACAACCTTCTTCTACTTTAACATTCCTATGAGTGGCTCCTGGTCCGTCTCAGCCTCCAGGATTCTGTTAACACTGCCCAGATGTTAAGACTTTCACATCTCCCAAAAGTTGCCTTAAAGCTATATTATCCTCAAAGCTATAGCTCGTCTTCCCTGAGAGATGAGACAGAAGAAACATGAAGATTAGAGGAATTTAGTCTGTCTGCTGCAGAACAGGGAGAAATGTGAGTGGTACTGGCCTCAAGCCCATGAGTATAGTGATGACTAATAGACTGGTTAAAGGGCTTCCAGAAATGCACTGGGCTGAAGAACACTACTTTTTATGACTCAGTATGACATCAGAATTGAATGAAAAGGAATTTCACAAACTCCAATTAGAGGGGGAATAGTGTGATTGATTTCAAATTTCTCTGGAGTTTTCCTCTGTGATTCCTTAGTACTCAAACTCCAAGTTGCTTTGCTAACCATATGGTACAGGTCAGACACAGTCTAAAGCCCCAACTTTTCTGGACTTCAGTTTCTAAGATTATGTTGTTTACAAAATACTACCAAGCACTCATGTGTGTGTGTGTGTGTGTTCCAAGCGCTCATGTGTGTGTGTGTGTGTGTGTGTGTGTGTGTGTGTGTGTGTGTGTGTGTATGTGCTGTAGCAAAATCAGGATCTCAAACATACCAAGCAAGCATTGTACCATCAGCCTTACTATGCACGCCTTGCCTGAAGACTCAGGACTGATTTCTCACACTAAAAATTGAGGGAAAGTATGCCTAGAGAGGCTTTTATTGGAGGTTTTTAAATGAATCTAAATAATATGTGGATGGCAAAGTGAAAGCCATTGCTAAGCTGTTTCCCAGTGGTCTCTGACAGATGGCTATGTTTCTCTTCACTAAGCAAGCTTTCATCTACAGCTGGTTATGAAATTATTCTTGCATAATAGAGATAAGCTCCTTACATTCTTTTCTCTTCGCACTGGACATGTCTATCTCCCAAAAATTCAGTGGTTGTAAGTGAAAATTTTTTTTAGCTGTGGTAGAAAAGGTTTCTCCCCTTGGGATACAAACAAATTAGTAACCCTTATTTATCAAGGGAATAATTGTACTTACATTAATACAAAGATCATTAGCAAACCTGAATCTGTTTCATTTCCAGCCCACCAGTAACAAACATGTATTTAATATCTACCATTTTTTAAACAGTGTGGCAGCAATATAAAGAAGCAAAAGACATGATCTCAGCCTCGTTCCTTCAATAAATTCATCAAGCAGCTACTGTGTCAAGAATGGTAAAAGTAGTGAGACAGACAAAATCCCTGACACCCTAATATATTTGATTAATTCAACAAATATTTGATGAGCATCTATAATAAATGCTCACAGTGATTCCACACATTGTTCTAGGTACTTGAGAGGCATCAGCAAACAAAGGAAACAAAAATCACTCCCCCTTGGGGATAGAGGTGATCCATCAAACAAAAAATTGTTCTTTTAATTCTGTGAGTTCAGGGTATCTTTATTAGTCATCTACTATAAGGTAAGCATTGGGAATACAGTGACGAGCAAGGAATGTGTGATTCTGGATCTTATATTACTTAGTATCCAGCTCTCAGAAAGTTTGTTTTTATCAGGGGAGAAAAGAGAGACCGAGACAATTAGAAATCAATGTAATACCGTGCAGTAGCGAAGTGCCCAAAAATTACAATATAGATTCTGAGGACTCCAGGAGGAGGACATAGGAGGAGCCACTCAGGAAATGTTGGGCTTTAGTGTATCCTCAGGCAAAGGAAATGACATAAACAGGATCTCACTGTTAAATCCTCAGGGGAGGAACTGATTGCCTCAGCCTCCCAAGTGCTGGGATTATAAGCGTGTGCCACCATGCCCAGCTAATTTGTTTTATCTTAAAACAATAAAGCATTGTCAAGAAATAAAGATAAAGAAACAGAAAGAAAATCTTTTGAGGGAATTGAATCAAAGGACTTCTCATTGTCCTGCATCCCCTGCTTTTTTCCCTTTTAATAAATTGTATTGTGTATACAGCTTACAATATTATGTTATTGAAACATAAATAGTAAAGTGGTCACTATAGTGAGCAAATACCATATGTGTTATCATATATAGTTATTGTTTCGTGCATTTGACAAGAATAGCTAGGAATCTACTTTTTTTTCTTTTTTTATAGTAACAGGGATCAAACTTAGACCCTTGTGCTTGTGAGGCAGGCCTGGCACAATTGAACTAACAGGCAGACGAGGCCAAAGTAAAACAGAAGCCCAGCAGGGCAGACATTAAGTTCTGTAGCTTCATGTCCAGAACATGGGGTGAGTTGTGGTGAGATGTGAGCTCTACGGGGCTTGGGCAACTCCATCTCGATGGCATTGCTTGTTGCAACCCATGTGGCCTCTCTTTTTTTTCCATTAAGTTTATTGGTACATTTTAGGTATAAAGTACAGTTACATTCATCATTGGGATCTTGTACCTTTACATGATGTATCTTGGTTCTTACGTTTTCCGCATACCTCTTAAACTAGTTTTACATATTCATCTCATAAGTACTGCTTGTGGACACACTAAGGCTCTTGCTGTTTATTTCATATTTGTGCATTTTCACAGACGTATTTACTCTACCCTGGATTCCCTTCCCTCCTTTCTTACCCTGTTGAAATTCTATCCAGTCTTTCTGCTGAGAAGCTGCCCCCAGCTTGTGCCAGTCAGAGGTAGTGTTATTTTGTCTTTCTTTTCTCTCATAGCTCACTTTGTGCCTATCTCAGTTATAGGGCTCACCACAGGAATTGTCATTGTTTTTACTTATTCATGACCCCTAATGGAATGTGCGGGTCTAGAAGACAAGAACCTCAATCTTCATCATATTCCCATCATCCAACACAGAGCTAGCTTAGCACTTGCCAGGAGGAGGATGCTGCATAATAAGTGGCCTCCATCTCACTTACAGCTGGAAGGAGTGAAACAGGCAAATCCCAGACAGAGGTCAAGGAAGAAAATGAAGGGTGGGATTAGCTCAGTGGCACCGGCACCTGCCTCTCATGCACAAGGTCCTGAGTTCCATCCTGGTACCAAAGAGAGAAAAAAAGAAAGAAAGAAAGAAAGAAAAAAGAAGAAAACGAAGGGTGTGGGGGGGATATAGACATCGTAGGTAGATAAATGTAAAGAGATAAGTGAGAGGAGTGCTTCCCATGAAGCGCTAAGATGAGGAACATGGAGAGCTCGCCCAAATCGGGTGGGGGTAGTTTTAAAAAAATTCTTGAAGCACCTGCTATGTGTGGAAATCACTGTTAGACACTGTTGGAATATAAAGTTAAATAAAATACCTTCCTATCAGGGTTGACCAGGAAGATAAGATGAAGACAAAGACATTAACAAAATACATACTAAATTTTGTAAAGCTCTTAAAGTTCAGTACCATTTTCAAATTTAAGACTTTTAGTATGAAGCCTCTAAGCAGTCAATAGAGTATTACTTAAAAAAATACTAAGTAAACAAACTGACTTACCTAGCCTGAGCTCTCAGCAAAAAGTAAAGAGGCTAGATTAGAAGCAACTTTCTTAGAAATAATATGTGGAATTGTGAATTGTAGTACTATTCAAACATATTTTTAATTTCTTTTTTTCTCATTGAGTTTATTGGTACATTTTAGGTATACAGTACACAGTTACATTCATTATTGGGATCTTGTACCTCTACATGACAGGTCTTGGTTCTCATTTTTTCCCCTTGTCCCTGTCCTCCCTTCACCCCTCCCCTCCCCCTTTACAAACACTTCATTTCCATTTTATCATTTTCTCATTTTTTTTCTTTTCCCTTATTACCTTTCCCCTACCCTTCCCACTTTCCCTACACCTTTAGCCCTTTTCTTCCTATTTCACATTGTCAATTATCTTATTAGGATCTTATGTACTATTATAGTTTTTCACATCATATTTTTAATTTCTATGTGCCATGAGTTATATATTCTTAGCTTTTTTGGAAGAAAGTAAGATGACAGATGAAAATGATTCATGGAAAATCTGAAAAGAGTGTATGCAAAAAACAGAAGAGGATTTCAGAAAATGAATAATGGGAACAAATGAGAGATGATAGGAGACAAAAGATGTTCCTATTCAAGAAACTAATTTTTACTTCATCTGAGGAGTGTGTATTCATTTCAGATGCCCATTTTTGGATTTGGCCTCTAAGTTTGGGGGATCTGATTTTTTTCAATTCTTTGTATGTTCTAGATATCAGTCCTTTGTCAGAGGAACAACTGCCTGCAGATTTTCTTCTACACTGTGGGTTGGCTCTTCACTCCTGGTGATTTTCTTTGCTGTGCAAAAGATTTTTTTTCATGAAGTTCATTGGTACATTTTAGATATACAGTTAAGTTACATTCATCATTGAGATCTTGTACCTTTACATGATGTATCTTGGTTCTTAATTTTCCCCTATTCCCCTGCCCTCCCTTCATCCCCTTCACCTTTCCCTATTTACAAAGACTGTTTCCATTTTTTCGTATTTCTTTTCTTTTCCCTCTTTCCTTTCCCTACCCCTCCCCCTTCCCCTACTCTTTAGACCCTTTCTTTCTATTTCACATTATCAATTATACATTTAGATCCTTATTTACACTTTAATTT